CTGTCCCGGGGGCTCCCCCTCGACACTCCCGTGCCGTCTCTCACAGTTCAAACAGACGCGTCACTCTCCGGCTGGGGAGGCGTTCTGAACGATCACACTGCCTCGGGACTATGGTCCCAGCAGGAGATCAAACTGCATATCAATGTGCTAGAACTGAGAGCGGTCAGGTTGGTGTTCCAACGCTTCCTGGATCTGCTTCGTGGCCAAGTGGTGCGTCTAGAGATGGACAACCAAACGGCGATGACTTACATCCGGAAGCAGGGGGGAACGGTGTCTCCGTCGCTTCTCCAAGAGACGTGGCAGTTCCTCCTATGGTGCGACTCACACGTTATCAGGGTGCTACCTGTTTATCTCCCGGGGGTAGACAACGTCCGTGCGGACGCTCTGTCTCGCCGGATCCTCGCTCCTCACGAGTGGAGGCTCGACCCGGGGATATTCGGGATTATCTCCCAGTTATACGGGTCGTTCCAGGTGGATCTGTTTGCGTCTGGGGTGAATCACCAGACACCAACGTTCTGCTCCCGAGTCCCCGACCCGAGGTCGGTGGCACCGGACGCCTTCCAGCTAGATTGGACGGACAGAATACTGTGGGCATTCCCCCCAGTACCTCTGATTTCCAAGGTCCTGTCTCAGCTAGCCACTCAGCCTGCGCGACTACTTGTGCTCCTGGCACTCCTTTGGTCGGCGCAGAGTTGGTTTCCAGTCATACTCAGGTTTCTGGCTCAGCCTCCTGTTCTATTACCTTTACGACCGGACCTCCTATCCCAGAACGAGGCCCTCCACCCGAATCCCAGGATTCAGTGGGTGGCTTGGCCACTGTCCGGAATCGCCTCCAGGAGAGCGGTATTCCTGCACGAGTTGCAGACACAATACTGGCTTCGCGGAGGGATTCGACAAACGTTCAGTACGAGGATAGATGGGCCTGCTATGCGCGCTGGTGTGTCGATAGAAGGATTGCAGATCCCTTTTCTGCAGATCTCGTAGCCGTACTTGAGTTCCTCCAGTCGCGACTAGATGTCGGCCTGGCCGCATCGACAGTCCGGGGGTACTCTACAGCTATCGCTGCCTTTCACGTCCCCGTCGACGGGGCACTTTTGGGTGCGCACCCATTAGTGCAGCGTTTTTTAGCAGGTGTGGACAGGATCCGACCGCCTGTCCGGCGGATCAGTCCCCCTTGGGAATTGTCAATCGTTCTTGATTGGCTGTCCGGTCCTTCTTTTCGGGATCTGTCGTCTCTCTCTCTTCAGCTGTTGAGCTGGAAGACGGCGTTCCTTGTGGCGGTAACGTCCGGCAGACGGGTAGGCGACATTCACGCAATGTCAGCCGATCCCGAACTAACTGTCTTTCACCGGGACAGGGTCAGTATTCGCCTGCCGGACTCTTACCGTCCTAAGGTCGCACACGCCTTCCACGTGACGGCTCCTATTGAGCTACCTGCTCTTTCACAGCCTTCCTCGTCGGGGACCACTACAAGACATGCTCATGTCTTGGATGTCCGCAGGACCCTTAAGTCCTATATCAGCAGAACTAAGGGTATCCGTAAGGATAATCAACTATTTTGCTGTTATGGCGGTAGGACGGCTGGCTCACCTGCGAGCAAACAAACTATCTTGCGGTGGATAGTCTCTACTATATGTACGGCGTACACGCTTCAAGGCAGGGACCCCCCTACCAAGTTGAAGGCTCATTCGATTAGAGCAGTGGCTACGACACAAGCGTATGCTGCGGCTCTGCCCATTGAGGAGATCTGCTCCGCGGCTATTTGGAGCCAGCCGAGCACGTTCATCAAACATTACCAACTCGACAAACACTCAAGCGAGCGTGCTCGGTTTGGTCAGTCAGTTCTCCGAACTGGGCAAAGTTCTACATCTCTAGCCGATTGAGCCTTCGAGATTTTAGACCGCCCGGACCGGTTATAACACTGCTCAGTAACGGTCCGGATTTTATCTTCTACGGTCGATACAATACCAGCCATTACTAGTCGATAATCATCGTAATTGCACATGCACTCCTTCGATTACGGGGACCCTCTGGCCTAGCTCTGTGCGGGTTTATAGTCTCTCGTGATCTGTGCCCCCAATATCACTTGTTCAAAAAAGTGGGTGGGGTGGGGGGTGTGTGTGTCTCGAGTTCTCGATGTGATGAGCCACAAAGAATGGCTCTTTTCATTGTGTATGGTCGATAACGCCCTGTCTCCAGCCCCCTCCTTTCGACGGTGGTGCCTCACGATAAGGTTGGTTCCATTTATTGAACTCTTGTTTATTCATTGAAATAATCAAAATACGATGTATTTTATGCACGCTTGTTGCTGACGGATGCCACTTCCTAGATTATCTTTAGGAGTCTATCTTGATGCAATAAGTGCCCCAAGGAGGATTTAATCTGAAAGAGAATTTTACAAACCTGTAGAGGTTATGAATTCTCTGATGAAATCCTCCTTGGGGCACGGCCACCCGCCTCCCCACATTCCGTCAGCATTAGACATATGGAAAGTGATTTGGGTGAGAGTTGCTTCCCTTGGCGTGACGCGCCGTGGAGGGTGAGGCACCATAAGGGTGGACGTATATCATACAAAAACAAAGTTTTTTGTGTGGTAACAATTTTTATTAAGGAAAATGGTTACAACTATGTCATGTAGATTTTCTTGAGCCAGGAAAATGCAATAAGTGCCCCAAGGAGGATTTCATCAGAGAATTCATAACCTCTACAGGTTTGTAAAAATTTTGCTGCCTTCTATCTGTAAGTACATGTGGCAACAATTCTTTTTGATTGCTAAAATCTTTGTACATTATGCTGCAGAAACTGAAGTCCTGCTTGAGATCCCTGGATGAGTACTCCAGGTTGACAGTTTGGAAGGACCAGACAAGGGAGTCCTAAACAGAGGGTGCACCCCTTCAGATATCAGAGGTGATTTGCAGACAGCGATGACGAGGGTCCTGTTATTTCAATGGAGGCCGACCGAGAAGTTGTATGCCAAATGGTACTGGGACACACAAAGGCTGGTCTGCCTAATGTGAGAAGACCAACCAATGCCAAGCTGGAGTGAAATTCTTCCAGGACATTCAGGAAATTCTTGTCTTGAGCCATGTGGTAAACACTTGAAAGGAATGATAAATGGGACTTATTGTCTTTAAATGTGGACCCAAACACCAAATGGAAAGTTCACAATTCTACTAACACAATGCTGCAGAGATAGAGTCCAACTGGTATCCCCTCATCCTGGTTCCTGTTCATCCATGACAATATAGAAAGAAAAGGAGTATTGAGGGAAAGTAAGTTCTCTGAACTGGTGAACATAATCCGTAGGTACTGTCAAGCGAACAGTTATCACACTCTGTTATGAGTATTGAAGAATAGGATGAAATTGCATACTGCATCAGGAACCATCATGTGAACACTGTTCAATGTTTGATATACTATAGGCATATGAATAAAAGAAATTAATAATTTGATTGTTGCTTATGTTTCATTTGCCAGCTGTGTAAATGGGGATGTTTCATGATTTTGCCTCAGTTTAATAGCCACACTTATCTTATGAAACCATGCATTGCTTGGGCATCTCAAGAATAAATAACACATGTTTCCTTTGCTCTGAAAACGTCTGATGACACATTGATCTGTTATGTCAAGGTCAAAGTCACAACCAGACAAAAAGTTTGTTTGTGGTCTAACTCTTCCTTTGGGCAGGGGTCGAAGTTGGAAAAAGGTCGTGTGTGATCTATATATACTACATTTTCCCCTAATTTGCCTTTTCTGCAGAAGTCTTAGTAACTCTTATACATATACTGGTTTCATTACTTTCATATTTTTGTCAATGATATGTTGAATTCTACCAAAGGACTGCATATTTGGTTTATGTGCTGGATAGCTCTTTGAAATGTTTTTGAAATATTTATCACTGATATTGAAGGTCAAATTCACACTCAAAAGTGATAACTCATAAAGGGTTGAAGTGTAAGATCAAGGCAATAGTGAAGGGGTCATTCATAAAGTATTTCTGCAATTATGACTAAAATGCCTATTTCTGGAGATATTTGTGAAGTATTAAGCACATAGTTGTTATATTATTTGAATACACATATATGAGCAGTGGTTACAACTCCAGTGTCAAATTAACTCTCAATCCCTTTTAATAAAAGATTTCACAGTAACTGAGGAAGCGCTCACTGTAGTACCATAAAACTAGGGTGAGGCAAATTTCAATGAAGTTAGTATTTTGGATATAACAAGTACATGTACCGTTACAAATAGTCTTATTATCATCTCACTAGGACCAAAGGCCCAAGTGAGCACATTGTCAATGACTTTTTCTTTCTCTCAGTACTATCTGGAAGTCTGGACATGAAATTTAAGGATATCATTATACGAGAACTGATGTTTGTTCATTAAATACCATTAACATCTGAAAAGGACAATATATGAAATTGAACAATTGTCTTCTCAAAAAATGTTTTAGGAGGATATTCACCATTAAAGTAACCCAGAACATTACAGCAGCTACCTGAAATGCACATGCTAACATTATTTACCAGAAGCAAGTCATGAAGAAAATTTGCATCCGGATACCTTCCGGAAACCTTCCGGAAACCTTCCAGATGCCTTCAGCAACCTTCAAATTGCTTGGTATTTTCAAGTTAATTTTTTTATATGTGTTTCAAACTTAAGTGAACAAAATGCACCCCCCAAATTTTGACATTTTTTTGGAAGGTTTCCGGAAGGTTTCCGGAAGGTATCCGGGCCGGATCCAAAATGGGTAGGTATCCGGAAGGTTTCCGGAAGACTGAAACCTACACTTTTTTTGCTGTGCATCCAAACAACCTATAGGCATGCCAGCATTCACTGCACTTTCGAGAGTACAAACACAACGAGGTAACCTTTCGAATCGTCCCATAAATTTAGTGCCTCAGCCAATTGTTGACGACATTTCCTCACTGGCAAATGGGTGAAACCACATCGTATCGAATCAACGATTTTACAACGTGATTGACTTTCTATTTCAGGATGTTCTCATAAACGTGGGTGACGTCACGAATGATGCTTTCAGGAAGACTCTCGTGGAGGCAACCAAGAAGAAGTTCGGGAAAATCGACATACTGGTGGGTATACTTCAACTACCGCAGAAGGGTTGAAAGTGAGGTGAAATGGGGTTAAACGTCGTGTCCAAGATTATTGCACTTATATAGCGACGTGCATGCATGTTTGTGTCTGCTTGTACTAGTCCGGACTGATGCCGATGAGACACAGTATACTGACTCCGAGCCGACCAGTCCTTGTTTTAGTCCTTTAATGCCGAGCGCCTGACAGGGTAACAACAAGTACCATCATTTAACGTCTTTTGGTATGACGCGGCCGGGGATCGAACCTCGAACCTTTCGCTCTCCAGGCGGACGCTCTACCACTAGACCACGGATGCGGTCCAGAAGGGTTGAAAGGACATACACATGTATACCTTCTGTACCATCATGATACATTACAATGAGAACCTGCTTCAAAAATCAATACAGTTCTCTTGTGTGTTGTTTAACGCCGCACTCAGCAATATTTTAGTTATATGAGGGCGGCATGTAAATAATCGAGCCGAGACAAGACACGTTCAACTGAACATATTGTTTGTGTCTTGTTTATTGCCGCACTCAGCAGTAGCCCTTCCATTTGACAATGGCTAGTAAACAACAGTGACAGGACCAGAAAATCCTGTGATTGTTATTTTGAACAACGATCTATGGTGTGGGAAAATGATGAGACGGAAGCACCAAAATCACCAATCCTGACTGGTCGACCCATTAAGTAACCTCTGAACACAAGCATAGGTTGTTGGGAACCAGTTCTTACCCAGAACATCCATGGGGTGCTTTTGTTGAAAGGGTTTCATGGATTTTGTTAAATATGTGCATCGATACATTGCAAAGAATAAAATGCAACTATTTGATAAAGTTTAACTGCTGCAGAGTAGAATCCATTCACCCATCACATGGAGATTCTGGGTTAGAAGACCAGGCCCGCTATTGCCGTATGCTTGTCTGAGGTTGGAGTAAATTGGGTTTCACCCGGCTTGTGTAAATATTATGGCAATATCACAACAGGCTACACCATATTTGGGCTTCACACATTGTACCCATGTGGGGAATCCTACCAGTGTCTTGGTTTGACGAGCAAACGCTTTAACCTCTAGGCTACACAACGGTCGTAAGAGGTGATGAAAGGGTCATTGGTTAATTGATGGAAACCACGTAATTACACCCATACAGAGTTGGTTGTTGCTCATATTATCAATCATTGCATTGTCTATGGGTGATTACCTTCAGGCTCGTCGCAGAGAGTGGCGTTTTAAAAATTCCGGGGTGAATAGCTTGCCCATGCTTGCTTGTCAGCAGCCCCACGAATAAGAAACACAACAGACAACATCAGTATTTTAACAAATATCTGTCCGTGAAGATCCGGAGTAGAATAGGGTCTTCGGCAACCCATGCTTGCCGTAAAAGGCGACTGCTTGTCGTATGACACGGGTGGTCTTGCTCGCTCACTTGGTCGATTTTTTATGTCATGCTTGCCGTAAAAGGCGACTGCTTGTCGTAAGACACGGGTGGTCTGGCTCGCTGACTTAGCTGATGTATGTCATCGTATCGCAAATGCGTGGTTCCATGCTCACGATGTCAATCACTGTATTGCCTGGTCCAGACCGCCATCATATAGCTGGATCATTGCTGAAACAATAAACCAACCAACCAATTTTAAAAGAACAGAAACAAGTTGTATCATATGTTTATGTTTAGGTTAACAATGCTGGGATCGCAACGATGAGTCCGCTGGGAGCAGCGCCCAAAGAACTGTACGACAAAACAATGGCTGTGAACGTGGAGGCACCTGTGTTTTTGACACAGTTGGTTTTACCGTATTTGGTTGAAACTAAAGGTACTCTCTTGTGAGTGAATGTGAATGCATGAGTATGATTTTATGTCTGTAATTATTTAAAAAAACCGATTTATTTTGAAAAACTGGAAGCAAATTGCCTCACAATTTTTCAACACGAAAACAATTGTTCACTGGAAAATATGCTGGATGTCCGGGAAAAGGTGCCGTCGGCACAAACGGCTCAGCTTCTCCTTTCAGAGAAATCATTGTATGTCTTGAAGCAGTGATCAAAACATATTCAGTCATAAAAAACTTGTCTTAATAACTGTATTATTGAAATACTGCCAATAAGATATAAACTGGTAACACATGTAAGTTCATGTTTCCTTCGTTAGGACGTTATAATGTGTATGGTAGATATTGCCACAGTTTTAGGGCTAAACAAATCTGTTTGTTGCAGGGTGTGTGGTTAATATTTCGACTTGCGGAACGAGTACAATTGTGAGTGTTTTGTCGGCAAAGACCGGGATAATTCCGTACATGTAAAATGGACCCCTTGTGAAGGTCCGGGGTATACTTGATCTTCAGCAACCCATGATTGCCGTAAAAGGCGACTATGCTTGTCGTAAAAGGCGACTAACGGGATCGGGTGGTCAGGCTCGCTGACTTGGTTGATACATGTCATCCATTCCAATTGCGTTGATCGATGCTCATGATATCAATCACTGGATTGTCTGGTCCAGACTCGATTATTTACAGACCGCCGTCATATAGCTGGAATATTGCTGAGTGCGGCGTTAAACAACAAACCAACAACAACAACTTTTAACCACCTGTGTTATTTGGAGTGCAGCATTGACATGCATCACATGCGAAGCACATTGGAGGTTGTATGGCCAAAATGGGTGCTGCGACAGTAAAGGGAGTATTAGTGGTGGTGGCATTTAAGTTTACTTCAACATCAAGTTGAGATATTTTAAAGAAAATGTGGAAATGTTTTGCATGAGAACAGCTGCATGTCTCCTTTGTGGTGTCTCGTTTGGCAAGTGACTTGGTCTCCGGACACTTGTCTCCATGGTATACTTCATTTGTTATCATTTACACTAATTGTACAGATCAGAATACAAATGTGTTGGAAATGGTGATTTTAGAGATATTTGAACAGAAACAAGTCCTAGACCGAGGCTGATCTTTACAAGAGATGTAGATTACGATAGATGGTAAAACAATTACACTGACATGCTCACACTATGATTCGGCCAAAAAAGTACCTTCAACCTTCTACGTCCTTTTGGGCATCTGTATCAAATGAAGTGATGGGGCTGCTTGTGGTACTTTCATATATCATGCAAAAACCTGTATCAATCTTCCCTCCCGTGCAGATACCGAATGGAGGTATCTACATCATGTCGAAGGCGGCCTTGGACACATTCACAAGATACCTTGCCCAAGGTTAGTATATAAACCTTTTGGAAACCTATCGGACGCTTGGGTAGCCCACTCATGTAAGGTCCTGCAGTTTGCTGTGCAGACTTTCGACGTGCGAGAATCCGATAATTGTCGGTTTGAACCTGACATTCAAACCTTAAAAATGAAAGCTATGCCCTTTTTTACTATCGAACAACCCGCTCTCTATATAAATACACTCCCTGAAATGGCACATCTCAAAAACTTCGATATAACTTCCATATACCGTTATATTAAAATTTACCTTTTTGTAATTTAATTCCAAAATTAAAATTCCAACCTCTATCTCCATTATGTCTTTATTGCACAATGCTTTGCTTTATACTCATACATTTTGTCACTATGGATAGTTAAGTTTGATAGTTACAAGGTCATAAGGTGGTACGCATGACCCAGTCGTCTGAGGCGCCACAGTTCGCAGTGCAGAGTTGCGTCCCTTGGCCACGCCAGCAACCTATGATACTGGGTTCGAAACCCTGTTCACCCTGATTTTGTTTCAAGGTTTGTCAGCACCGTACCCGTGGTTTCACCAAAGTGGTAAAAAGGACTTAAAATTTCATTTGGGGAAAAAATCCATCATCTGACTTTGGGCTTACCTTTTACATTAAACTGAGATGCTGGTATAACTGAAATATCAAAGTTGGGTTAAACCAAAATAATCACTCGATATGTATTAACATATAGGTAGCGGTAGCTTTTGTCAATAATTCCTCGAACACTTCAGAACAGAAGATTTGGCATTTAAAAGAGGCGTCATACGTGGTAATGTACCTTGTGAGGAATCCAGGTTAGAATTGGTCACCAACGACCTATGCCTATCGCTCAAGGGAACTGAGTGGATCATCTAGTCGGCACCGTCGTATCCACATAAAATAAATGCTGATAAACGGTGTTATCAAAAAGCAAACAAAATACAAACATCGTTATTTCTTTCCACAGAAATGGCTTCCCAGGGGGTTCGCGTTAATGCAGTCCAGTGAGTATAATGAGAAAGGCAATACTTATGAAGAAAGTAATATTGCCTTTGTGTATGACCGTGTATGTCGGTGTGTGGATGGTGTTTGATCAGGGTGGATATTTAATATTGATGGAAATTACATTCACTTAGGGGGGGCACGGGTGGCCCAGTCGTCTAAGGCGCCGCGTTTCGTTGTGCAGAGTTGCGTCCCTTGGGCACGCCAGAAACCTATGATTGTGGGTTCGAATCCCGGTTCGCACCGATTATGTTTCTAGGTTTATCAGCACCATACCCGTCCTCGTGGGTTTCACCAAAGTGGTAAACGTCTGAGACCTGAATCACTTCGGGCTTTCCTCCCACATTAAGCTGACACGCCGTGATATAACTGTAATAGTGTTAAAAGCGGCGTTAAACCCAACTCACTCACTGACATTTACTTAGATTTATTTGAGTTCAGTTTATAATAAGCTGAGAATATGCAGCATGTTTTCTATCACTTGTATATTCATGTGTTTCGATTCATCAGGTTGCAAGGTTAGTGAAAACTTGACACTCAACTTCGTTACAACATGTCCAGTATTCGTTAGGTGTTCATTACTATTTACAGGGTGTTAGTTTCATAATATGCATTTATAGGGGTCAAGCATTAATCATGTTCTGTATAACGTAAGCAGGTATCGCACAAGTCTTCCACTTTTACATTGTTGTTTGTTCTTTAACGCCGGACTCAGCAATATCAAAACTATATGACGGCGGTCTGAAAATAATTGAGTCTGGACCTGACAATCCAGTGACTGACAACATGAGCATCGATCTACGTAGTTGGGATACGATGACATGTATCAACCAAGTCAGCGAGCCTGACCACCCAATCGTGTTAGTCGCCTTTTAGGACAAGCATAGTCACCTTTTACGTCAAGCGTGGGTTGCTGAAGACCTATTCTACCCCGGATCTTCACGGGTCTCCGCTTTTACAATATCAACGTAATAACTCCATATATATTGTGTTGGACATCACGCAAGAAGTTGGAATTGGCATGTAGTTATATAACACATGAGCAAAACCAGTTAATCAACTCGGGGCATGGTCTTTTAGTTACGCGAAGGTAATTACCATCAGTCGTTAAACAAGGTGACCCGTGAATGTTCTGGGACAGAATAGGTCGTCAGCTTTCCATGCTTGCCGTAACAGGCGACTGTGCTTGTCGTAGGAGGTGACTAACGGGATCGGGTGGTCATCGATTCCAATTGCGCGGGAACCGTGAAGATCCGGGGTAGAATAGATCTTCAGCAACCTATGTTTGCCGTAAAAGGCGACTATGCTTGTCGTAAAAGGCGACTAATGGGATCGGGTGGTCAGGCTCGCTGACTTGGTTGATGCATGTCATCGTATCCCAATTGCGTGGATCGATGCTCATGATATTATTCACTGGATTGTCTTATCCAGACTCGATTATTTACAGACAGCCGTTTTAAACTGGAATATTGCTGAGTGCCGCGTTAAACAACAAACCAACCAACCAACCAATCCAATTGCGTGGAGCGATGCTCATGATTTTGATCACTGGACTATGTGGTCCAGACTCGATTATTTACAGACCGCCGCCATATAGCTGGAATATTGCTGAGTGCGGCGTTAAACAACAAACCAACGAACCAATTGCGTAGATCGTGTTATCAATCACTGGATTGTCTGGTCCAGATTCGATTCTTTACAGACGGCCGTCATATAGCTGGAATGTTGCTGAGAGCGCCGTTAAACAACAAACAGAAAACCAAAACAAACTTGGTGGGCTCAGTTGTCATGAAAGGATACGACGTCATTCTAGACATCTGAATCTTCTTGTAATTACAAGACCCGTGGAGATCCGGGGTAGAATAGGCCTGTGAGAACCGGGATAGAATAGGTCTTCAGCAACCCATGCTTGCCGTAAAATGTGACTATGTTTGTCGTAAGAGGCGACTAATGGGATCGGGTGGTCAGGCTCGCTGACTTTGTTGATGCATTTCATCGATCCCAATTGCGATTCCGTATCGATGCACATGTTGTTAAACACTTGATTGTCTGGTCCAGACTTGATTATTTACAGACCACCGTCATATATTTGGAATATTGCTGAGTGCGGCGTTAAACAACAAACAAACAAACGTAATTACAATGTTGATTAACAAATATGTCTTTTCCGTTTACGGTTGTTTTTTTAGTATTCTGGGTACGTCATACTTGGTTTCCTGCGATCATTCCATATACTGATAACTGTTCACTTGGTTTAGTGTGATTGCTGTATCACTGCAGCTGTTATATTCACTGTGATTGCTGTATTCACTGCCCTTGTTGTGTTTATTTTGACTGTTGTATTCACTATGATTGTGTTACACTGTTGGTTTGATTGTTTCAGACCAGGCCACGTACCCACTTCAATAATGTCTGGGCAGTTAAACAAAGAAGAAAGTGCCATGGTAATTACCTACCACATCTGTCATGGAAACCAGTGGTCAGACTCGCTAACTTGGTTGATGCATGTCATCGATCCCAATTGCGTGGGTCGATGCTCATGATGTCAATCACTGGATTGTCTGGTCCAGACTCGATCATTTACAGACCGCCGTCATATAGCTTGAATATTGCCGAGTGCGGCGTAAAACAACAAACCAACCAATGTCATGGAAACCAGTTATTGATAGCACGAGCAACTTCCCACACCATTCATGTACGACACCCTATCAACAAAAAAAACGAGTCTGACCCCTCGATTCCACGCCTCTTACGACAAGTGTAACCCACTGATGATTTATTCTTAACCCAGAATAACCACATGTGATGTGAAGCATCTTTGTGTTAGAACTGTCCCAGTGCAAACTATTTCAATACTTTTATTTAAGGCTTCATTTATCTTAAATACCTAATTGGTTCTATATTTTTCCAAGTGCACCGAAATTCTATGCCCTTTGTTTAATATATTCAAACAATATTCGGCGTATCCCCTCTTATCATAAGCCCCCTCCAGGCAGGACCCTTAAACTCCAGCTCTATCTATCAATGTCAGTTAACACCTTCTTACGTCGCCGGATCTTACGTGTATACATACTCGCGGGACAATGACCTTGCAACACGTTATGTTATACCCCTGTCTATAAAAGAGATGCGGCAGAGATCGATTTGTGTAAGTGACAGAGCTGGTGTTCCCACCAAGGAACATTGGCCACTCGGTCCCGGTGTGCGTTCTGTCACGTTATTATCAACATCTACCTGTTCGACCTGTTCCACCCATCATCAATAAGCATTGCTGCTGTTGTCTTAAACTTCACCCCTGAGTTTTGTCGTCCGTCATCACCCTGAGCTACCATCTGAGGGCCGAAACGTACGCCCTTGGACAGAACCATCTGTATAGAACCAGCGCCTTTTGTATTCTCTGATCACGACATATTTTTAATTTTTTTTGTCAGTCCTAAATTTATTATCTTCTGGCCATATGGCTTTAAGCCTGTACTGAAGACATCAGATGACTTAGATAGATGGGAGTCCTGCTGGAGTTATCTCCCTTAGTCAAAGAGACCAAAGCCCACGACACTCTTTCACTCACTCACTCACTCTGTTTCAGATGGAAAAATCCATGATTAAAGCGACGCCAATTGGTCGAACGGCTACGGCAGAGGAAATGGGACACATTGTTGCCTTCTTGGCCTCGGAAAAAGCAGCCTTCATAACAGGGGAATGTATCTTGGCCGATGGCGGGTTGACAATGACCACACCACCCATCTCTACATAAGAATTCGGATTCAAAGGACTTATATTTGCCTCCACTGTCTGCAGATTGTGTACTACCAAATACGCAAGGCCACTGGTCAAATTGACAAAAATGAGTTTATATACCGCTTACTAGTATGTAATGACGTGGGGAAAAGAAGTCACCGGCTAGCAAAGTAGAACAGAGTTAAATCTGAAGAGGTTTATTCAAACCATACATAACGTAGAAAATCTTCCCAATTCTAAAGTTTACATTACTAAAACATTACTCTGAGAAGCACAGCTTCTTTGACTTATAGTTCTGAGAAAATATTGAGACATGATTTATTCTGAGATATACAGAATTAAAAAGATATACCATAGTTTGAAAAGATGTTTTCCACCTCGACACTATGAGCTGAATCTTTAAAGCTGTTCTTTGGGGATTAAAAGTCACACAGATGACGACCTCAGCACGCCGCACAAAGCAATATTCCAGCTATATGACGACGGTCTGTAAATAACCAAGTCTGGACCAGACAATCCTCTCATTGATATCATGAGTATCAATCCACGCAATTGAGATCAATGACATGCATCAAACCAAGTCAGCGAGCCTGACCACCCGATCCCGTTAGTTACCCCTCACGACAAGCATTGTCCCCTTTTACGGCAAGCATGGGTTGCTGAAGGCCTATTCTATCCCGTATCTTCACGGTTCCGCAACATTACAAAACTAAACACCGGAGGTTGGGTTCACTCATTGTACACACGTTGGGAATTAAACCCAGATCTTTGTGAGAGTAAGCGTGTGTTGCACCACAGCAGTACGCCTGCCACATGACGACAGTTTGTGAACAATCGAGTCTTGTCCAGACAATCCAGTGATCGGCCCATTTGTGTGTTATTGTGCCCCGACAGCTGAGCGTGTTGATGATGTGGGCATATACTGGATTACGTATAGGCCATCGTGATGTAGCTGGACTATTGGTGAATGCTTTGTTAAACAGTAAATACATTGGAATACCGATTGACATAAAGGGAAATTTGAAGTCATTCCATTTGTTTGTTTTGTTTGTTTGTTTGTTGCTTAACACCGCCCTCAGCAACAGTCCAGCTATATGGCGGCGGTCTGTAAATAATCGAGTCTGGACCAGACAATCCAGTTATTTACTTCATGAACATCGATCCGCGCAATTGGGATTGATGACATGCATAAACCAAGTCAGCGAGCCTGACCACCCGATCCCGTTAGTCGCCTTTTACGACAAGCATAGTCGCCTTTTACGGCAAGCATCCTGTCATGAAAGGATACGACGTCATTTTAGATCCGGGGTTGAATAGGCCCGTGAAGATCCGGGATAGAATAGGGCTCCAGCAACCAATGCTTGCCGTAAAAGGCGACTATGCTTGTTGAGTTTCAAAAAGCATCAGAATGTATAATAAAATTTTGTTGCAATCAATTATTGCTGAAATATATGTTTTGATCAAAATTGAAAGGATGGGAAATCTTTAATGAAAAGGGTTTTGTCACTAACGTAAATATTCTCTTTGACCTTATACGAAGAGTATTCTAAGATCATTAAACCCGGCAATCGTTGGTGGGTTGCGCCAAGCAACCTTGATACCAAATTTGGTACCTAACGTATAATGCGGTACATAATTTTCGAAACAGATGATTACGTTTTTCATAAGTTATCACTAATTTGTGACCTATATACGGACAAAAAATACCTCAGAGGATATTCTTCTCTGGAGGTTTAAGAGGATTAAAAAAAATTCCAGCTAACATCAAGCACTGTAATAAAATATTGAAATTATAGCATACCTTCTTAACATTCCAATGAAAAGAATAGTGACTAACTAAGAAACCAAATTATATTTATCTCCGATACTATGCCCTCATCATCACACAAACACACACACACACACACACACACACACACACAAACATACACACCAACACACACACATACATACAAACACATACACACAGGTGTGTATGTATGTGTGTGTGTTTATGTGTGAATGTGTGTGCGTGTGTGTGTGTGTGTGTGCGTGCGTGAGTGCGTGTGTAATGACAGTAAATGTGAGCTCTATGTCATTGGTATCACATATATGACTGCACTTCTTCATACTCTAGATGACAGTATCATGTACGTAGATGAAAGTATGTTATTGGACGATAGTATCTAGATGACATACTATCATCTACGTAGAAGATACTAGCATATACGTAGATGAAAGTATCTTCTACGTATATGAGAGTATCTTCTACTTAGATGATAGTATCTTCTACGTAGATGATAGTATTTTCTACGCAGATGGTAGTATATTCTACGTAGATGATAGTATTTTCTACGCAGATCATAGTATCTTCTACGTAGATGATAGCATGCCCCAAACATCACATCACTTCAAATAAATGTCTTTCACTATGTACCAGCCAAAACCACTGTACTCAAGGTACAACCAGGCATTGATCCACTTCTGATGGCAATTCACTTTTTTTTAGCTCTAATGCAAGTCCACTACCTTTTCCATACGTCATTATTAGCCTTCGGACACTGATAACAGTATTTACTTTATATATATATATATATATATATATATATATATATATATATATATATATATATAAATGTTTTACTGTACTCCGAACAGTTGGAGTACATATATATACAAAGGTACAAAACTGTTTAGGGAAGTTTGGAACAGCATTTATCGTATAATCGTCATTAAATATGACTTAGTGTGGGGTGTGAGAACTTTTTGAAACTTGATATATCGAACATTGTTGTATATATAAACTAGTGTCCAAAAGAAACGATACCAACTTATTTTCAAAATTGTTTTTTACTAAGTGAATTGTCAAGTATGAAAACATGCCAATTCGTATTGCACATCCCAAACACAGCATAGTCGATAAAAAATACCGGGAACACGTGATCACTTCCGGGAAAAAACGTAAATTTCGTGAAAGTGACATTTCCCTCTCTAGCATGTTCTGCACGTGCAGAAAAACTGTATAAAACGGCTGATCAGACACGTTGATATCACAGCAACAAAAAGAACACAATATATGCCACGTTTGACAGCCATCGAGAGAGAGAGAGCCGTTGGAATGGTCCAACAAGGAGCGTCACACGTCGACGTCGCCAGAAGGTTGGGCTGCGCACGCATCACTATCACCAGGTTGATGCAGCGGTTATGTCAGACAGGTCAGACGTCAGACAGGCCCAGGAGTGGAAGACCACGAGTAACCACGCCCCGTGAAGATCGTTATATCCGGGTATTACACCTGAGGAACCGCATCGTAACAGCGACGTCCACGGCGGCTACAGCACTGGGACACAGGATCAGTCGACAGACCGTCTACAGGAGACTACGGCAGTATGGTATCCGGCCACGTCATCCCTACCGCGGACCGCTCCTGACGCCTCGACACCGGAACAACAGACTGATCTGGGCCAGGCGAGTTCGACGTTGGCAACGGCGGGACTGGGCACGTGTTATGTTCTCTGATGAGAGCAGATTCCTCATCTTCAGAAACGATGGACGGCAGCTTGTATACCGACGATTTGGTGAAAGTTTGGCGCCTAACTGTATCCAACAGGTCCGGCCGTTTGGAGGTGGAGGGTTAATGGTTTGGGGTGGCATATGTGGTGACGTCAAAACGATGCTTGTCGTAATTCGTGGAAACCTGAATGCACAGCGTTATCTTGATGACATCCTACGGCCTGTTGTGGTGCCCTTTATTCAGCAACAGCCTCGTGAACTCATTTTCCAACATGACAATGCAAGGCCACACACAGCAAGATTGACACAGAACTTCCTTGCCAACGCCAACGTACAGGTTTTGTCATGGCCCGCATGTTCACCGGACATGAATCCCATCGAACACTTATGGGACCACCTCGATCGGCAAATCCGACGTCGCCGTGTGCCTCCAGTCAACGTCCAGGACTTGGAACGATGTCTCCTCGAGGAATGGCAACGCATCACTCCCAACGTCATCAGACGTTTGACGTCATCAGTCCGTAGGCGTGTTCTGGCATGTATTGATGCTCACGGTGGATATACCCGCTACTGACTTGACTTTGAGACGTGTGGTGTGACATTTCCCGTTGTTTCTGTGATCAGTGCTCAAACGAAATGTTCATTTTCGACCCCAGCCATCTTTAAAGGCTTGTCATATTGGTTGTACAGATTTTATTGAAATGAAATTTTTGTACAGATGTTGTGAAAGGATTTCTCAAAAGCATAACACCAATCCTAAACTTCTGCATTGTTTAGTTTTTCTTTTATGTCGTTGCAAACAGGTGGTATCGTTTCTTTTGGACACTAGTATATATATATATATATATATATATATATATATATATATATATAAACTCACTGGACGTGGTTATTAACACAATGTATATGTTTGGGATGCTTTCCTTGCATTTAAAGTTTGTTAGAAGTAGTTGAAAAGAGCGATTCAGCATGAAACCAAATTTGAAATGGGGTAAAATAGTTGTTACATAGTGTATGAAATACCCTCTGAAGACATATCTGCAGTCTCAAATTTTTTAGATGTTTTAACTTAATTTCAGAAAAAAGTGATAAGGGTGGGCAATTAGAACTAGGTAAAAAAATCGGAGCAAAATATCATTTGACTTTTTGGTAAGTCACCAGTCATTTCATTGGAATTTTAAGAGAGTATGTTATTACAGTGCTTGATGTAAGCCCAAATTACTTTAATCCTCTTAATTTTCAGAGGATTATTGTACGTATATATTTCGCATTAAGGTTTCTTGGCGCAATCCACCAACGATTGTCGAGTTTAATGATCTTCAAGTACGTTTCAAGGTCAAAGAGAAAATTTACTTTAGTGACAAACATATTTTCATTATAAATTTTCAATTTCTTTCTATTTTGATACAAGCAGACATATTTCAGCAATTGATTGCAAGAATTTTATGATGATTCGTATACGCTTTGAAACTGTACAAGATACCGGATGTTATTTGTGTATGCACGGATCTGTCAACTCATTTGATGTATTTGAATTCTTCGTCAAAATAAAATGAATTGTATAAATATGATTAAATTCCCTCGTTTGTTTTAAGAAAAGGATCATGTACTCCTTATCAACTCGTATAGCGTTTCCACTGCAAATCGACACACTGGTTGACCAGCCTGTGTTTGTACCCTTCGTCATCACGCGTTCAGTCGTTTCGAACTGGTCAACGTACTGTTGAAGCAAGTCATGCAAAAAACATCTTGAATAGCCTTGTAAGAGTATTGAACAATATGTCACAATTAAGTTATTTGTCAAATATACGGTTGTGTTCATTTTGAACCCGAGGATGGATCTTTCAGTCAATTAAATTTATCGATGTTGACACCACCCTTTAATAACGATTGTACGATAAAGCCTATACCAACCATCCCTAACTTAACAGTTTTGTACGTTTGTCATCATTCACAGTATGTCTCGAATTGTACATGTGAAACGCAAGCTCAACTGACAAAGATCATTTCTAGTCAGTTGGCGTCTTGGACACTACGGTAGTAAGGATATTACAATTTACGTAAGAATTTATTACATTTTACCGCAAGTAGAGATTATTACAATTTACGTCAATTTTTATTACAATTTGCGTATTACAATTTACGTCAAATATTATTACAATTTACGTTGTTATTACAATTAACGTCAAAATTATTACAATTTGCTGCAAGTATTACAATTTACCTTTTTATTACAATTTACGTCGTACAACCCCGTGTTAAGGTTTTCGAGATAGTATGATTTGAAAACACATTCCGACTTTCACTTCGACCATCTGGTAAGCAACGCTTTGATTGGTTGGATGAAAGGTCGTTCTGACGTGACCCGTAATGGGATGTCCTCAGATCTTTGTTTAGCAATAGAGAGCGCTAAGATCTGATTTTAATGTGATTGTGGGGATACTGATGTTAATGATGCTGATTTTTGTGCTGATGTTTGTTGTGGGCTGTTGCTGATGTTATTTGTGAAACTGTTGATGTTGTTTGTGGGACTGCTGTTGCTGTTGCGATGTTGCTCTTGTTATTTTCCTCAAGCTGTTCCCTTCTTAATATCTGATGTTCATTCCAAATATTATCAGCCCATATATTGCCCTTCCTATGGATTAAGTGAGTGGGTATTGTTGCACTTTTGTTAAATATATATTCATGTTTTGTAAGTTACATTCTACCATGATACTCTAGCATCTACCATGATACTGAAACATGCTTGATTCTGAATAGTCAAAATAACGTAGAAATCAGGTGTCTTATTTTTAGTAAATACCTCAAAATGAACAAGTTTATTCACACCAAACGTGCGTATGAATACATAGATCTTACGATAGCCTACACGTCGATCAAGAACAATGTCATCTGATTAGATACTTACCAGCACACTGCACTGCACAAGGAGTTGGTCACAACAAAATATAGAACATGAATTAAACCCAGATTTTTGTGAGAATAAGTGTTTATTGCCTCACGCCCCACAGTGTTCCTGATGTTCTGTCTGGGGCTGCTCATGTTGCTTGAGGGGCTGCTGATATTTGTGGCGCTCCTAGTGTTGTTTCTGGTTCTGTTGCTGGTGTTGTTTCTGGTTCTGTTGCTGGTGTTGTTTCTGGTACTGGTGCTGATGTTGTTTCTGGGTTCTGTTGCTGGTGTTGTTTCTGGTTCTGTTGCTCATGTTGTTTCTGGGTTCTGTTGCTGGTGTTGTTTCTGGTACTGGTGCTGGTGTTGTTTCTGGTTCTGTTGCTGGTGTTGTTTCTGGTTCTGTTGCTGGTGTTGTTTCTGGTTCTGTTGCTGGTGTTGATTCTGGTTCTGTTGCTGGTGTTGTTTCTGGTACTGGTGCTGATGTTGTTTCTGGGTTCTGTTGCTGGTGTTGTTTCTGGTTCTGTTGCTGGTGTTGTTTCTGGTTCTGTTGCTGGTGTTGTTTCTGGTACTGGTGCTGATGTTGTTTCTGGGTTCTGTTGCTGGTGTTGTTTCTGGTTCTGTTGCTGGTGTTGTTTCTGGGTTCTGTTGCTGGTGTTGTTTCTGGTACTGGTGCTGATGTTGTTTCTGGGTTCTGTTGCTGGTGTTGTTTCTGGTTCTGTTGCTGGTGTTGTTTCTGGTTCTGTTGCTGGTGTTGTTTCTGGTTCTGGTGCTGGTGTTGTTTCTGGTTCTGTTACTTGTTTTAGGGGCTGATCAGCTTGTTTTTGGGACTCGTCAGTTGTTTGTGGGGCTGATCAGCTTGTTTTAGGGGCTGATCAGCTTGTTTTGGGGACTCATCAGCTTGTTTGTGGGGCTGATCGGCATGTTTGTGTTGCTTTTGAGGTTGTTTATGAGGCTGATCAGCTTGGTTGTGGACTGATCAACTTGTTTGTGGGGCTGTTGAGGTTGTTTGTGGGGCTGATCAACTTGATTATGGGGCCGATCAACTTGTTTGTTAGGCTTTTGAGTTTTTTTGTGAGGCTGATCAACTTGTTTGTGAGGCTGATCATTTTGTTTCTAGGGCTTTTGAGGCTATTGGTGGGGCCGATCAGCTTGTTTGTGAGGCTGATCAGCTTGCTTTTGGGACTCATCAGCTTGTTTCTGGGGCTGGTCAGCTTGTTTATGGGGCTGATCAGCTTGTTTGGGAGGCTGATCAGCTTGTTTTTGGGACTCATCAGCTTGTTTGTGGGGCTTTTGAGGTTGTTTGTGAGGCTGATCAACTTCTTTGTGGGGGCTGATCAGCTTGTTTGTGAGGCTTTTTAGGTTATTTGTGGGGCTTATCAGCTTGTTAGTGGGGCTGATCAATTTGTTTGTGAGGATAATCAACTTGTTTGTGCGGCTGATCAGCTTGTTTGTGAGGCTGAACAACTTGTTTGTGAGGCCGATCAACTTGATTGTGACTCTTTTGAGGTTGTTTCTGACGCTGATCAACTTGTTTGTAGGGCTGATCAGCTTCTTTGTGAGGCTGATCACCTTGTTTGTGAGGCTGATCAACTTGTTTGTAGAGCTGATCAGCTTGTTTGTGAGACTGATCAGCTTGATGGTGGGGCTGATCAATTGTTTGTGAGGCTGATCAACTTGTTTGTTGTCTGATCAACTTGTTTGTGGGGATGTTGAGGTTGTTTGTGAGGCTGATCAACTTGTTCTGGGGCCTGATCAACTTGTTTGTGAGGCTTTTGAGGTTGTTTCTGAGGCTGACCAACTTGTTTCTGAGCCTTTTAAGGTTGTTTTGGGGCTGATCAACTTATTTTTTGGGCTGATCAACTTGTTTGTGAGACTTATCAACTCGTCTGTGGGGCTGATCAACTTGTTTGTGAGGCTGATCAACTTGTTTGTGAGGCTTTTGAGTTTGTTGGACTGATTAACTTGTTTCAGGGTCTGATAAGCTTGCTTGTTGGGCTGATCAACTTGTTTGTGGGGTTGATCAAATTGTTTGTGGGGTTGATCAAATTGTTTTGGGGGATTTGGGGGTTGTTTATGCGGCTGATCAACTTGTTTGTGGGGGCTGATCAACTTGTTTGTGAGGCTTTTGAGGTGGTTTGTGAGGCTTTTGAGGTGGTTTGTGGGGCTGATCAACTTGTTTGTGGGGCTGATCAATTTTTCTGTGAGGCTGATCAACTTGTTTGTGGGGCTGATCAGCTTGTTTGTGAGCCTGATCAATTTGTTTCTCAGGCTGATCCGCTTGTTTGTGAGGCTTTTGAGGATGTTTGTGAGGCTGATCAACTTGTTTGTGAGGCTGACCAACTTGTTTCTAGGGCATTTGAGGTTGTTTTTTGGGCTGACCAACTTGTTTGTGAGACTTATCAACTCGTCTGTGGGGCTGATCAACTTGTTTGTGAGGCTGACCAACTTGTTTCTGAGGCATTTGAGGTTGTTTTGGGGGCTGAACAACTTGTTTGTGAGGCTGATCAACTTGCTTTTGGGACTCATCAGCTTGTTTCTGGGGCTGGTCAGCTTGTTTATGGGGCTGATCAGCTTGTTTGTGAGGCTGATCAACTTATTTGTAGAGCTGTTCAGCGTGTTTGTCAGACTGATCAGCCTGTTTGTGTGGATGATCAATTGTTTGTGAGGATGATCAGCTTGTTTCTGGGGCTGATCAGCTTGTTTGTTGTCTGATCAACTTGTTTGTGGGGATGTTGAGGTTGTTTCTAAGGCTGATCAGCTTGTTTGTGGGGCTGATCAGCTTATTTATGGGGCTTTTGAGGTTGTTTGTGAGCGTGATCAACTTTTTTGTGAGGCTTTTGAGGTTGTTTCTGAGGCTTACCAACTTGTTTCTGAGCCTTTTGATGTTGTTTTCGGACTCATCAACTTGTTTTTTGGGCTGATCAACTTGTTTGTGAGACTTTTGAGCTTTTTGTGAGGCTGATAAACTTATTTGTGGGGCTGATCAGCTTGTTTGTGAGGCTGATCAGCTTGTTTCTGGGGATGGTCAGCTTGTTTCTCGGGCTGATCAGCTTGTTTGTTGTCTGATCAACTTGTTTGTGGGGATGTTGAGGTTCTTTGTAAGGCTGATCAGCTTGTTTATGGGGCTTTTGAGGTTGTTTGTGAGGCTGATCAACTTGTTCTGAGGCTGACCAACTTGTTTCTGAGCCTTTTGAGGTTGTTTTCGGGCTCATCAACTTGTTTTTTGGGCTGATCAACTTGTTTGTGAGACTTATCAACTCGTCTGCGGGGCTGACCAACTTCTTTGTGAGGCTGATCAACTTGTTTGTGAGGCTTTTGAGTTTGTTTGTTGGACTGATTAACTTGTTTGTTATGCTGATCAGCTTGTTTGTGGGGCTGAAAAGCTTGCTTGTTGGGCTGATCAACTTGTTTATGGGGTTGATCAAATTGTCTTGGGGGATTTGGGGGTTGTTTATGCGGCTGATCAACTTGTTTGTTGGGCTGATCAACTTGTTTGTGAGGCTTTTGAGGTTGTTTGTGAGGCTTTTGAGGTTGTTTGTCGAACTGATCAACTTGTTTGTAGGGCTGATCATTTTGTTTCTGGGGCTTTTGAGGTTATTGGTGGGGCTGATCAGCTTGTTTGTGAGGCTGATCAGCTTGCTTTTGGGACTCATCAGCTTGTTTCTGCGGCTGGTCAGCTTGTTTATGGGGCTGATCAGCTTGTTTGTGAGGCTGATCAGCTTGTTTTTGGGACTTATCAGCTTGTTTGTGGGGCTTTTGAGGTTGTTTTTGAGGCTGATCAACTTCTTTGTGGGGGCTGATCAGCTTGTTTGTGGGGGCTGATCAGCTTGTTTGTGAGGCTGATCAATTTGTTTTTGAGGATAATCAACTTGTTTGTGGGGTTGATCAGCTTGTTTGTGAGGCTGAACAACTTGTTTGTGAGGCTGATCAACTTGATTGTGACTCTTTTGAGGTTGTTTCTGAGGCTGATCAACTTGTTTGTAGGGCTGATCAGCTTCTTTCTGAAGCTGATCAGCTTGTTTGTGAGGCTGATCAACTTGTTTGTAGAGCTGATCAGCTTGTTTGTGAGACTGGTCAGCTTGATGGTGGGGCTGATCAATTGTTTGTGAGGCTGATCAACTTGTATATAGGGCTGATCAACTTGTTTCTGAGGCTGATCAACTTGCTTTTGGGACTCATCAGCTTGTTTCTGGGGCTGGTCAGCTTGTTTATGGGGCTGATCAGCTTGTTTGTGAGGCTGATCAGCTTGTTTGTGAGGCTGATCAGCCTGTTTCTCGGGCTGATAAGCTTGTTTCTGAGGCTGATCAACTTGTTTGTGACTCTTTTGAGGTTGTTTCTGAGGCTGATCAACTTGTTTGTAGGGCTGATCAGCTTGTTTGTGAGGCTGATCAGCCTGTTTGTGAGGCTGATCAACTTGTTTGTGAGGCTTTCGAGGTTGTTTTTGGGGCTCATCAACTTGTTTGTGAGGCAGATAGGCTTGTTTGTGGGGCTGATCAGCTTGTTTCTCATGCTGATCAAGTTGTTTCTGAGCTGATCAAATTTTTGTGAGGCTGATCAACTTCTTTGTAGGGCTGATCAACTTGTTTGTGAGGCTTTTCAGGTTGTTTGTGAGACTGATCAGCTTGTTTGTAGGGCTGATCAGCTTGTTTGTGAGGCTGATCAGCTTGTTTGTGAGGCTGATCATCTTGTTTGTGACTCTTTTGAGGTTGTTTCTGAGGCTGATCAACTTGTTTGTAGGGCTGATCAGCTTGTTTGTGAGGCTGATCAGCTTGTTTGTGAGGCTGATCATCTTGTTTGTGACTCTTTTGAAGTTGTTTCTGAGGCTGATCAACTTGTTTGTAGAGCTGATCAGCTTGTTTGTGAGGCTGATGAACTTGTTTGTGAGGCTTTTGAGGTTGTTTTTGGGGCTGATCAACTTCTTTGTTGTGCTGATCCACTTGTTTATGGGCTTGATCAAATTGTTTTGGAAGCTTTTGATGTTGTTTTGTAGGCTGATCAACTTGTTTTTGAGGTTGATCAACTTGTTTGTGGGGCTGATCAGCTTGTTTGTCAGACTTATCAAATTGTTTGTGAGGCTTTTGAGGTTGTTTCTGAGGCTGATCAGCTTGTTTGTGAGGCTGATCAATTTGTTTGTGAGACTGATCATCTTGTGTGTGACTCATTTGAGGTTGTTTCTGAGGCTGATCAACTTGTTTGTGGGGCTGATCAGCTTGTTTGTTAGGCTTTTGAGATTGTTTGTGAGACTGATCAGCTTGTTTGTGAGGGTGATCAATTTCTTTGTAGGGGCTGATCAGGTTCTTTGTGAGGCTGATCAGCTTGTTTGTGAGGCTGATCAACTTGTTTGTGAGGCTTTTGAGGTTGTTTTTGGGATTGATCAACTCGTTCGTGGGGCTGATCAACTTGTTTGTGAGGCTGATCAACTTGTTTGTGAGGCTTTTGGGGTTGTTTTTGGGGCGGATCAACTTGTTTGTAGGGCTGATCAGCTTGTTTGTGAGCCTGATCACCTTTTTGAAGGGCTGATCAGCTTCTTTGTTCTGCTCATCAAGTTGTTTTGTGGAGCTGATCATCTTGTATTTGAGGTTGCTCAACTTGTTTGTGGGGCTGATCAACTTGTTTGTGAGACTGATCAACTTATTTGTGAGGCTGATCAACTTGTTTTTGACTCTTTTGAGGTTGTTTGTCAAACTCATCAACTCGTTTGTGGGGCTCATCAACTTGTTTGTGAGGCTGATCAGCTTGTTTGTTGGGCTGATCAACTTGTTTGTAGAGCTGATCAGCTTGTTTGTTGGGCTGATCAACTTGTTTGTAGAGCTGATCAGCTTGTTTGTGAGACTGGTCAGCTTGATGGTGGGGCTGATCAATTGTTTGTGAGGCTGATCAACTTGTATATAGGGCTGATCAACTTGTTTCTGAGGCTGATCAACTTGCTTTTGGGACTCATCAGCTTGTTTCTGGGGCTGGTCAGCTTGTTTATGGGGCTGATCAGCTTGTTTGTGAGGCTGATCAGCTTGTTTGTGAGGCTGATCAGCCTGTTTCTCGGGCTGATAAGCTTGTTTCTGAGGCTGATCAACTTGTTTGTGACTCTTTTGAGGTTGTTTCTGAGGCTGATCAACTTGTTTGTAGGGCTGATCAGCTTGTTTGTGAGGCTGATCAGCTTGTTTGTGAGGCTGATCAACTTGTTTGTGAGGCTTTCGAGGTTGTTTTGGGGGCTGATCAACTTGTTTGTGAGGCAGATAGGCTTGTTTGTGGGGCTGATCAGCTTGTTTCTCATGCTGATCAAGTTGTTTCTGAGCTGATCAATTTTTTGTGAGGCTGATCAACTTCTTTGTAGGGCTGATCAACTTGTTTGTGAGGCTTTTCAGGTTGTTTGTGAGACTGATCAGCTTGTTTGTAGGGCTGATCAGCTTGTTTGTGAGGCTGATCAGCTTGTTTGTGAGGCTGATCATCTTGTTTGTGACTCTTTTGAGGTTGTTTCTGAGGCTGATCAACTTGTTTGTAGGGCTGATCAGCTTGTTTGTGAGGCTGATCAGCTTGTTTGTGAGGCTGATGAACTTGTTTGTGAGGCTTTTGAGGTTGTTTTTGGGGCTGATCAACTTCTTTGTTGTGCTGATCCACTTGTTTATGGGCTTGATCAAATTGTTTTGGAAGCTTTTGATGTTGTTTTGTAGGCTGATCAACTTGTTTTTGAGGTTGATCAACTTGTTTGTGGGGCTAATCAGCATGTTTGTCAGACTTATCAAATTGTTTGTGAGGCTTTTGAGGTTGTTTCTGAGGCTGATCAGCTTGTTTGTGAGGCTGATCAATTTGTTTGTGAGACTGATCATCTTGTGTGTGACTCTTTTGAGGTTGTTTCTGAGGCTGATCAACTTCTTTGTTGTGCTGATCCACTTGTTTATGGGCTTGATCAAATTGTTTTGGAAGCTTTTGATGTTGTTTTGTAGGCTGATCAACTTGTTTTTGAGGTTGATCAACTTGTTTGTGGGGCTAATCAGCTTGTTTGTCAGACTTATCAAATTGTTTGTGAGGCTTTTGAGGTTGTTTCTGAGGCTGATCAGCTTGTTTGTGAGGCTGATCAATTTGTTTGTGGGGCTGATCAGCTTGTTTGTTAGGCTTTTGAGATTGTTTGTGAGACTGATCAGCTTGTTTGTGAGGGTGATCAATTTCTTTGTAGGGCTGATCAGGTTCTTTGTGAGGCTGATCAGCTTGTTTTTGAGGCTGATCAACTTGTTTGTGAGGCTTTTGAGGTTGTTTTTGGGATTGATCAACTCGTTCGTGGGGCTGATCAACTTGTTTGTGAGGCTTTTGGGGTTGTTTTTGGGGCGGATCAACTTGTTTGTAGGGCTGATCAGCTTGTTTCTGAGCCTGATCACCTTTTTGTAGGGCTGATCAGCTTCTTTGTTCTGCTCATCAAGTTGTTTTGTGGAGCTGATCATCTTGTATTTGAGGTTGCTCAACTTGTTTGTGGGGCTGATCAACTTGTTTGTGAGACTGATCAACTTATTTGTGAGGCTGATCAACTTGTTTTTGACTCTTTTGAGGTTGTTTGTCAAACTCATCAACTCGTTTGTGGGGCTCATCAACTTGTTTGTGAGGCTGATCAGCTTGTTTGTTGGGCTGATCAACTTGTTTCTAGAGCTGATCAGCTTGTTTGTGAGACTGGTCAGCTTGATGGTGGGGCTGACCAATTGTTTGTGAGGCTGATCAACTTGTATATAGGGCTGATCAACTTGTTTGTGAGGCTGATCAACTTGTTTGTGAGACTGATCAACTTATTTGTGAGGCTGATCAACTTGTTTGTGACTCTTTTGAGGTTGTTTGTCAAACTCATCAACTCGTTTGTGGGGCTCATCAACTTGTTTGTGAGGCTGATCAGCTTGTTTGTTGGGCTGATCAGCTGTTTCTGATGCTGATCAACTTCTTTGTGAGGCTTTTGAGGTTGTTTTGGGGGCTGATCAACTTCTTTGTGAGGCTGATCAACTTGTTTGTGAGGCAGATCAGCTTCTTTGTGGGGCTGATCAGCTTGTTTCTGATGCTGATCAAGTTGTTTGTGGGCTGATCAATTGTTTGTGAAGCTGATCAACTTGTTTGTAGGGGTCATGAGCTTGTTTGTGGGCTGCTCAACTTGTTTGTGGGGCTGTTGAGTTTGCTTTATAGGGCTGATCAGCTTCTTTGTGGGGCTGATCAGCTTGTTTATTGGGCTTTTGAGGTTGTTTGTGAGGTTCATCAACTTGTTTGTGGGCCTGATCAGCTTGTTTGTGAGGTTGATCAACTTGTTTTTGGGGCTGATCACCTTGTTTGTGGGGTGATCAACTTGTTTGTAGGGCTGATCAACTTGTTTTTTAGGGCTGATCAGCTTGTTTGAGAGGCTCATCAGCTTGTTTGTAGAGCTGAACAGCTTGTTTGTGGGGCTGATCAGCTTGTTTGTTCTGCTGATCAGCTTGTTTGTGAGGCTGATCAATTCTTTGTGAGGCTGATCAACTTGTTTGTAGGGCTGATCAGCTTGTTTGTGAGGCAGATCAGCTTGTTTGTGGGACTGATCAGATTGTTTATGAGGGTGATCAGCTTGTTTGTGGGCTGATCAGCTTGTTTCTGGGGCTGATCCAGCTTGTTTGTGGGGTGCTCAACTTGTTTGTGGGGTTGTTGAGGTTTTTTG